GCTGGAGCGGGAGGGACCCTCCTCTCCCAGACCTCACCCTGCACAAGCAGCTACCGGCTTCTCCACCGAGCACAACACGGGGCGCACAACCCCGGGCAACTCATCAGGAAGGAGTTAAAAAGCTTTTACCCACCGTGCCAAATGTTCAGGCTCCTGGTAGGCGCACGGACGCAGCTCACGCCTGGCCCAAGCCACACGGGCGCCCGCCGGGGCTGCGGAGAAGCTGCTGCTCTGCCCCGCAGCCCCACGCGAGGCACTGCCACCGTGCGAAGGCCTGGTGCCTGCCGGAGGGATTAAAACAAACTGCAACCCCCCCTTCACAGGCGTCCCACCGCGTTATCTCAGCAGGACCTGAAGCACAGGTTTGTTTTCAAGGACCACGCTTGGCCTCTGGTTGGGAAACGTCACCTGCTCCCCTGTGCTGATAAGCCAGCGCATTTTTCTTAAGTACTTTTTCAACAAAACCACCTTTTCAATTCACCCTCCAGTTGGGAGATCCCGCAACCAGATGTATGAACGACGAGGGGGCTACAGGACTGGGGTGTGCCCATATCTGATATTAGATTTTTTTTTTTTTTTTTTAAAAAAAAGACAACCGCTTTGCTCCTGAACAACCTGGCAGTATTGCTTTAGTTAAAGAAGGGGGCTGCTCCTTCTCCTCCGCAGGCAAACCGACCCCGCACGCTCACAGACATCGGCACGATGCCCAGCCGCTCTCCTGGGGGGCACAGCCGTGAGGCCACGGGCATGGCCATGGGGACCCCGGTATAGCCCCCCCACCCCATGCCCCCACTGTTCTTGTCTGCTGTTTTGGTTTGTCTGCTCATTTGGCATGTTCAGGACGAGGTTTCCTGCAGGAATAAAGGCCTTGGGCTCCAGTCTGCGAAACGCCCACGGTGGCTTTAAGGCAAGGGCATATAATTTGGCTGAGCTCTTCTAAGACCGTGATTGTCAGAAGAACGGGGAAACGAAGCTGGTGCATCACCCCACGCCGCCCAGGCCGCGGGACGAGAGCAACCACGCGCGTCTGCCCCACGGCTGCAAAAGCCAGCCACGCGCGGGCTGCTTAGGGGGCATCTTCCCCTCATTTAAAACAAACCACATTCCCTTAACGAATGGATTTAGGAGGAGGAGGAGGAAAACCCCGTACACCGGCTCTGGCAAGAGTCGCCCACCGTTTCCCACGGACACAGGGATGGGCTGTGAAAGCGCAGGTGAGGGAGGTGCTTTGGCAGCAGGACCCCCCCTTGAGCCTGCTCCGTAAGGCTTGGACATGGGGCTGAGTCGGGGTGTGCCAGGCACCAGCACGACGTCCGTCTGTGTGAGCAGCTTTTGGGGTGCCCCCCCCTAAGGGGCTTCCCTGGGGGTGCCCGGCCATGCCAGGGGGGTGACCCTTCTGCCTCCAGGACAGAGCCGCCAGCCTGGGGAAAGGCCAGCCCCACTCGCTGCTCCTACCACCACCACGACGGTGCCTCGGGCTCAGCCAAAGGCTCCAGCAGGAAAGCGCAGCTGGGCCACGCTCTTTGCATATACACGGCCAATAAAATAACAGTTGTTAAAATAAAATAAAAAAAAAATAATAAAATACAGCAGCAAAGCTGCGGGTTTCACCCCTGGGCAGCCGCCGGCGCC